GAAGAAGAAGAAGAAGAAGACGAAGAAGAAGAAGAAGAAGAAGAAGAAGGATCCTCTTTCTCTCTCTGGTTGTGGAGGAGAGTCGCCATCCGTCTTCATCGGCCGACAGCGCGACGGGCGGCGTTTGCCTCGAATGCTCACCAAGGAGTTTTCTTCTTCTTCTTCTTCTACTCCGCCTCCTCCTCCTCCACCTCTTACTCCACTCCTTCTCTCCACGGTGCTGCTGCCGCTGTGCTCATCCCCTTCCTTCTTTTTTTCCCTCCCTCGTACCACTCTGAAATATTCCTCGTTTTGCCCTCTTGCACTCGTGTGGCAACAGCCAACCTAACCCTTTCAGATTATGCCTCGCAGAGAGAGAGAGAGAGAGAGAGTGTGTGTGTAGGTGTGCGTGTGTGTAGTACTACGGTCACGTGTACACGTTCGCGAAACAAACACAAGGATAACGTGTAGTCCGGACACAGAGAGTCCAGCTGGTTCTCTCTCGAGCCGTCCGCGCTTCTCTCCCTTTTGCCTCCCTTGGCAAGTACAATTAATATTCTTGTTCGGGATTCGTGTACCGCCACACCGAGCGCAGATCATGTCACGGATATCTGTAAGGTATCTATCATACGCGGAACTGCGCCTACGAGCTCGGCGAACCGCCGCAGCTTTTTCTTCGGCGGACAGGCATTTTTGTTTCGACCCGACCCCGTAAAAACTTTCCCGCGTGCCGAAGCAGGTTGCGCCGCGGCGTTCATTAAATATCTCAGATTGCGGCCTCGAGATCTCTCTCTCTCTCTCTCTCGTACTCTCTTCGCGGAGCATACACTCGGCTAACGAAGCGTTAGTCTTCGTGGTCCTCTCCTCGCCAACAAGAGTGCACCGTAGCTATTTCAACGGGGGATCGGAATGCCGGTGAACGGGCAGAATTCGAGATTTCCATGCGTTTCTTTTCTCCCCTATCCTTTTTCTCTAGTTTTCTTATGCTTCGCCTGAGACAGGGTTTACGTATGTATATACGCGGTGCTAGGATAATATGTCTATGGGAAAAGGTGTCGAGTGTGTCTACTGCTTCTGTTCGTGATGCAAAAACCAGGTTCCGCTAATCGAATCACGACGCAGGGACATTAATCAACCTTGCCTGCGTTTTACCGGGAATATGGGTTTCTCGGAACAGCATGGTAGCTCTTGAAATTGGAGTGTGCACTGGGCGAGGCAGGTCGTGCGATCCTTACGGAGGAAATTTTGTTCGTTAGGTGCCTCGTTTTGGAGAAAATCGAGTACGAGTGTACTTGACTATCTCCGTGTTGAATGTTCGCGCTAATAGGCAGTTGCAGTGTCGTGATAAGTAGTAATGATGCGTTTATTAACAATTTCGTTGCTTTACGTCCGTGACAGTGACGTCTAAGGTTGACACTTTAATTGCCCGCTATCTGTCGACACGAACGCAACAGTTTGCAGGGAATCTTACGTTCAATTTTCGAGGAAATTGAGCTTTTTGGGGACAGAGATTGAGGGGTTGCTCGTCTTCTGCACTGTTGTGCCTGTATTGTCCCTTTGGACGTATATATACGCTCTCAGAGGATATATCAATATAAAAACTTATCTGTGACACCCTGTTTTACTTTTTCATTAGTCAATGAGCATAACGATGTGCGACTGACATGCGAATATCGCGCCGTCTATGCAAATAAACCTCAAATTTTCAATTGTTTACAACATTCACTTGTTCTTTACCTCACATTTTACCCAATTTCTAATTCGAAACTACAGCGATTCAATTTCCCTTCGAGAAACGCGACCTCGCTGTATCGCTTCCACCAACTACACCTTGCCCACTCATCCAGCGCACAATCAACGACGCGTTGATCCACACGCGTTTCTCATCTGTTCCCAGCAAAACCCCCAGAAAAGCAATTCTAAGGACACTTAACGTCGGTCCAGCCTCCTCCCTCTATATCTATCGTTGTTCGCGCAGGTTTCGAGTAAAGACAAAGAAAGGAGATTGTAACCTCCGTTTCACGCCAGATCTCGCCATCTGGTCCTTCTCCGGTGTGCGTACACACAATGCATGTGTACCGGTGCAAAAAAAAAAAAAAAAGAACGAGGACGTGGAAAGAGAGAACGCGAGACTAACGAGGAACCCGTGTGCGGTGATTTCCATGTTTCAGAGAGGAAACGAGGCCGGCAAACGTACACCCGATACCAAACCCTCGAGCTGGAGAAGGAGTTCCATTTCAACCGATACCTGACCAGGCGGCGGCGCATCGAGATCGCGCACGCGCTCTGCCTGACGGAGCGGCAAATCAAAATCTGGTTCCAAAACAGACGGATGAAGTGGAAGAAGGAGAACAAGACGAAGGGCGAGCCA